ATAAGGATTAAATATTGTGCTACGTGTATTGTGTTGTACATCGCTTTTTCTAAATAAAATAAATGTTTAAACCTAAGTAATTTACCAGAAATATCTATGACGAGTGGTCATAGAACAGTTCGAAAAGGTCATAGAACAGTTCAGTTGGAAAATTACTGCTTTACGAAGATACCGTCTGTGTTAACTGTTACCTAACAGTATTTCATGAGTGGCGTTCGTCATATTCCGCAAGAGACAGTCTCCGTAACAAAAGTAGTGGCTTCCTGCCATCCGCGAGACTACTTTTGTTTAGACCTTTCTTTAACAATGCTCCGGATTGGATCACGATCAGGCGCTACTGTTATTTGTTGCCACGCTGTCAGGGACTATACAAGTTGCTGGAAAGCCGTCCTCTTCCGCTACGAAAGATTCCGCATGTATTGGCTATTAACACGCCGCTACACCATCCAGAGTAGATACCTACCTAATTGTTAAATTATATTGTAAAAATAAACATTTATATAAGTAATAAAATATAAAATTGTTAAAAAAATATTAATAGAAATATTTATTTTAACAATTTTTTATGCCACGTATTGTAATATTATTATTTAACGGGTTTTTACTTTGAATAAGAAATATATATACCATTAATCGGTATAATATAAATATTTTATAATATAAGTATTCAAATAGTCGCCTATTTGAATACTATATACTAAGTTAAGTTTTATTGAAACAGAAAAAAAAGGTTAAGGTTCTAAAACCAATTTTAATTGTAATAAAATTTGGTTCATTTTGCATTGAACTTGTCTGTGATATAAATAAAATTGTTCGCTCTGTTACGTTATACTTTCGTATTATATTTATTGTTATTTTTTGAATAACTTGTCAGTTGTTTCTAAAACAAAATCATATTTTTATACGTTGTTGGTTAGACCGATTAGATATATATTTATTATTCAGGTTCTAATAGTTTAGTTGACTGACAGGTTTCATCTATCAGTACCAATAATTTGTCAGTTCAAGGGGGAAGGGAATCATCATCCTCCATTGGGGCCCGCCAGTGTATACCGTTAACGCAAATAGAAGCACAATTCCATCATCACATATTAAAAAAAAAACTATCTGTCGCCTATTGCATAAATTTTCTGGTCAAGATACATTACTAGGAATATGAAATATATTAACTGGCCGCTAATAAAGCGAACTTTCTTTTAACTGAACAAAAAAATACGTTGTCTTATTATCAATTAATACAATATTATAAGAATAGACATATTGTTGTCTGCTTCACTACAATAAAGAATTATTTGTGACTACACGCGCTGTACTATCTGTTCTATAAGACTTTTTCTAATACTATTGGCCTCAACTAGCCTCTACAGCTTCATCGAAGGCTCTATCCTTCAGTGAAGCTGTAAAGTGGGCGAGTGTAGATCACATTCCAAATCCGCGGAGGGATTTATGAAGCGGTTAAAGGTTTAGTTACCCTATGCCTGACTGATATAATTTTAGTCTGAAAGAATCGCTAGGAGTAGGAATCTCGTATTAGGTCGTCGTAATTTCCTGCCGTCCAATTCAATCGGGGGTTGTTTGAATTGGACAGGGGATTGATCGAAGGGATTTTATAATGCGTGTAGGTCAAATAATTATTTATTCTGGAAGAAAAGTCCTAGAAATTACACCTAGACAGCGGTACCGCCTGTGGTTACTGTATAGAAACTATTTAAGATTATATTCCACAAAAGACTCTCACCGTTTTCCTGCCATCTGGACTTGCTCTTCGACTTCACCCGTTACTCTACTTTAGAAGTGCACTGGATTCAGGTAAGTGGTTATTCTAAGCGTATTTGTGGCGCGCAGCTAGACTACACAGTACAGTAGTGGAGGGGGGAAGGGGATTGTTAGTAATGTGGACTGATGACCCCATTGCTTGCTAGCAATGGGGTCATCAGTCCACAATTGTCCCAATCCCATCCCAGTTGTCCCAATGTACCATGTTAGGTTGACCTCCACGCGGTTCCCCCTGGAAACCATCGTGATAAATTCTTGGTAAATTTGTTACGGTGGGCTAACTGACTTGACCTCATGCTCATCTTATAATCCTCCACTGGTGCTCCATCAGCGTAAACCGTTTTCCATTATAATCCATAAAAAAAAGAACAGTAGTGGAATGCCCCAAGTTAGGTGCCTTACGTGCCTAATGTAGTGGCCGCTTCAGGGTGGTTTTATAATTTACAACTCATTTGAACTCATTTACAAAAAGATTTTTTGTCTGGTATGTATAATACGTTTTATATATAATTAGGTACGAAAAAACAAACATTTTTTTTACAATTGTTTATTATAAGTTAAATGTTAATTATAAGCAGAAATACATTACAGTTATATTTACTAGTTATAAAAATATATCTGAAACAAGTACAACAATATATCTGATTAAGTTACAGAAGCCTTAACCTATTGTGTTATGTCGATTAAAAAAGTCTACAGTGACAAACCTACGAGTAAGTGAAGTATGAATAAATTTTATTTTTAAATCCGCTCCTAAACTTAATTCCTTAATGTTTACAGTAGATGTAAAATATTGTCAAGTATGAATGATAATACAATTTACTCTAAAATCTATCACTAAAGTGTATTATGATTTATAGTTAACAATATTTTCCATCTACTGTAAAGATACAGAACACTATATATATATTACATTATCTGTGCTCAACACTCACATTCAATTCATTCTCTGTTTTGAAGAACATTTGCAGCAAGTACGAATCACGCATCCAAAGAGTAAAGTAAGTATACCAGAGGATCACGCATCCTATAGTCATCTCACCTATATGAACTTTATGAGTCAAAATGGTTGCACGAATTCTGACAACCATAGAACATTCTGATTTTTAAATTCTTAATTAAGGAACTTTTATTATAAATACGAAAGTAACTATGCCTGTCTCTTTGTGTTTTCTCGCCAAAATTTCTGAATCTATTTAAATGTAATTTGGTACACAGATAGTGTAGACCTAAGGAATGACATAGGTTAAAAAATAGGGTAGAAAAGGTTCTAAGGGATTGAAAGGGGAAATGAAAAGTTGTATGGAATTATTCATTTTTAAAGCTAGCAGCTTGTAACTTATTTTTAGGCTGTTGATTTAAATTTGTGAAAGTAAGGAGTTAAAATAAAATAGGGGATAAAATTTGTATGGATATTCGTCATTTTTGAAGCTAAAACTTTTTATTTTGGCTGTTTTGGGTTAGATTGTTAAATATTTTATGCTATTAAAGTTAAAGCAATAACTACTTTTTCATTTATAGTAAAGATATTTTTAAAATCACTAGTATACTGACGACTTAGGCGTAATGCCGGTTAGTCAGGGAGAGAAACACCTCAATGCCTACAATATTCACCATTACCTATCTCTTATTTGTTTTTATAATAATATATACACTTTCGCTCCAAAACTCCCGCTGCCTACGTTCAATTATCCGTCATCCACCTGTCAATGTCACATAGATTACTTTGGCTCTGGCCTCTGACGTTCCGTTTCAGGTTACATGATTATTGACTTTACCATTTTTAATTAATGGTGCGTCACACGATAGTTAACAATATATACAAGGTTAAAACTTTATATATCCATATTTTAAATTAAAGAATGGAAGAATTTCCATAACCAAGAACATATTGTAAGATATATCTAATGTAAGCCGTATTTGTTATAATGATGAGTTGATTTACTTATAGTTTGACTGACAGATGACAGAATGGCCATCACGTTATCATGTTCCACCCGTGATACAACTCTTGCGTTGCCATTACAAAGAATTAAGATGTTATGCCTTTTATTCTGATATTTCACTGCATAATTTCATCCTACAACGGAAACACAGCTTAGAAAGCAAGCTGTTTAGTGTATTTTTTGTGTAATCCAAACAATAATCTAAATATATATAACTCAAAGGTGACTGACTGACATAGTGATCTATCAATGCGCAGCCTAAACCACTGGACGGATCGGGCTAAAATTTGGCATGCAGGTGTTATGACGTAGGCATCCGTTAAGAAACGATTTTGATTAATTCTACCCCTAAGGGGATAAAATAGGGGATGAAAGTTTGTATGAAACTTTATCAATTTTAAACCGATCGGCCTGAGACTTTGCATGCATAAAGCTACTATGACGTAGGCGGGATGCCTAGAAAAGAATAAGAAAGGATTTTGATAAATTCCACCCCTAAGGGGATAAATTAACGCGAGCGAAGCCGCGGATAAAACCTAGTGACTAATATTTTTCTTTATTATTTCTAGAAACTTATTATAATATACTTGAGTATATATTAATACCTATTTATTTAAATATTTACGCCATAATTAAGATACAATACAATATAATCTATACATATAACGAAACTGTATAAGGGGAATGTATGTAAGTACTTAGGAAAAAAACGCTACAAACCTACACAGGGGGATGTTAGAAGTAAAACAGAACACATCCAGATTACTTTTTTTGTTTCTCTGTTTGTACGGGCTAATCTACGAAACTGTTGGATCGATTTAAATGAAATTTTGTATGGCAGTACCTTACATCCCCGGTCAACATTATAGATAGTTTTAATCACGAAAAAAGAGGTCCTGACCAAATCTATAGTAACTTATGCAGCTAAGTACACTACCTACTTAAGTAACATTATTTTGATTTAAGGCAAAGACCGAGAACGACAGGTTATTTGTTAATATTGGTCCAGTTTTGCCAGACTTAATGAATAGGTAGGTACATATATCGATACGTACCATATAATATCGAAACAATAACAAATATCACGCGGACAAAGTCGCGGGCTTTACCTAGCGTACAATGCGGAAAACTATGTATACCTGTATATATAAATAAATAAAAAAATATTCAAGTTTGTCAGTTGTTCACTTATAACAAGGGTTCGATATAAGTGCTGTTAAGTTTGGATTGCTGTTTTATTTCTAAAATTTTATTTCGTGCGTGTTCCTTGTTGCATATTTATTTTAATTTCTGGATGCCCTTTGGTTGTTGTATGAGATTCACTTCAGCATACAGCACTTCGTCTTCCTTTTTATTAACAGTTATATTTTGTGGTCTCTTCAAATCTAATTCAGCATATAGAAGTTGGTTACCATGAGATTCATCATTATTTCTATTCGTCTGTATGTGGTTGTGATTATTAGCAGTACTCTGTCAAAATGAACAAGTATAATTGTTATGTATACCTACTCCCTGATCTTACAAAAGAAGATAATGTGATAGTATTAATAACTACATTCATTTTTTAACACAGAAATGAGAGCGTGGTGCCCGTAGCATTTGCTAGTCTTGCCACTTGTGTATTCTGACGTTGGATATGCCTGCCGCTACCTTGTTTGCCATTACATTGCCATAATAAAAATATTCATAGTTGCTTTATTTCTACGTCATCACGTGACGACTGTGGTACATTCCAATCGTCCTCATTCCCGAGGACTAAAGTACCTCCGTGCACTGTAAATTCACTGCCCTTCAATCCGAAACTGCTAAAAAACCAAGTAGGTGATAGAAATGGATAAGACAAAGGTACATAACTCAAACCGTGGTAATCGACATTCATTCTGTTTTTTATTATGTGGTTCAATAAAACAGCCAGGCCAGTTTTATTTAGATTAACCTTTCAATATAAATAGAAGTTATTTTTATTAATTTTTAGCTAAGAAGCAGAATGACATTATTCATAAAGATTTGTTTGTTCTTTTGATGATTATTATGTTACAATGTAAGCTTGTATGAATAATGAGGTACAGGAACAAAAATTATGAACTTAATATGCAGCGTAAGATAATAATTTGTATATGGGTATAATAAACATTAGGTACTATCAATTGGGTAGTCATTTTGTAGTTTCACTTTGGAAGGTTATAAAAATTGAAAATGTGAATCAGGGTCTATCTCTTCCAAACTTCAATATATTTTGTTAGTAATCTTTTACTTACATTAATCTGTTGTGATAGTGCTGGCATATTTGGCTTTTTATACTTTCTTCTCAAATAAAACAGCAAAATTACAACAATCAGCAACAGAGATATGAGAATCGCTATGTAAACAGAAGAATTAACAGTAGATTTGGTGACAGAATTATCTGAAACAGAAGCATAAATACTTGTGTAAAGTTAGTTAACTTTCTACAGTTCATTTGTACATATATTAATTAAGCATATACGACACGCAAGGTGCCTATTGTAAACAGCTGGATATTTCTTTGTATAAAATATAACCAATTTAATAAAATAACTTTAATTAAATTATAGATTAAGTAAACATCCACAACTTATTTGTGCCTGTGAATATTAAAATATCAAGTGAGCGCTTTCTAAGTTGTATTGCTAAGACATATTGATTGCTCAAAGTTATTTTTAAGTAGATACAAGAATAAAGTCGCTCTTCTATTCTGTTTCTCCGATTAATTCTTTTAAATACGTGGCTTGTAAACTACGTAATGTATTTTAATGCAGTTTAAACAACGTTAAGTATGTTTTATACTTTTCACGTTGGAAATCGAATCTGAAAACGAAGCCCTTACTATTCGTTATATACACAAAGTCGCCTTTCGCTCCTGTCTATTTATGCGTCCAATTAAAATGTAATACGAATTCATTGTATTATAGACATTATAAAGGAACGCTTATAGCTTTTGCATATAGGTCGATAATCACTAAAAATTAAGAACTCACAGTTAGCTTTACCTTTATTAGGGTTAATTGATGATTTCCCAATATCAGATGACTGCGAATGAGATGAGGTTGACGTTGTGGTCTTGTCGTGAAGTTGTGGTCTTCTAGTTGTTTTAAATTCCTCTGTCAACATTAGAATCTCATGTAGGCGCTATTCATTTCTGTTGTCTCCTTAATGTCTATTCGTTTATAATATTGTATTTAAGAAAGCAGTGCCATCACGGTTTGTAATTAATCTATGTGTACTATTTATAAAATACGCACGACTGCCAAAATTATGCAATAAAAATCTACTAATTAAACCGTTAGGTGTGTAGATTCGACATTACTAAAGTAGTCAGTCAAGCTCCTGCCAAAAGTGTAAATCCTTTCTAATACCATCGTAGGAGCCTAGGACCTACCTTCTGTCCAAAAAAATGAGTACGTACGCGATGACATTGTTACACACTTCAAGATTACGAGAATGACCGTTTTTTCATCCTTGACTTAGCAGGTTGTCTGCTACTCTCTCTATTATTACTTTAATATTCTCCCTATTCAATTCTAACAGTCGTAGTGGCCGTTGATTTATCATGGAAGTTTCCACTTAGGATTGTTCACACTCAAGTGGTTCGTCGATAAATTGTCTCCGGCGTCGTTACCAATAGATACTTTTTTTCCACTGAATAATGAATAGATTATTCAAAATTATGGGTAGGCGGTTATCACTTACCATCAGGTGAGCCGCATGCTCGTTTGTCGACTGTGTTATAAAAATAAAAATAAAACAAAGCATATATTTTTCCTGGTATCATACAACTAGATTACCAGTTTAATGTATAATATTATGCAAGTCATGAGTATGTTCAGCATAGTGTAGTGCTGTCAGATGAAAATTTGATATCAATGTTATTTACAGCAATTTTATGAACTACTGTCTACTGTCTACTGTCTCTAACATATATATTTTTAAGGTTTCTTTTATAAATCTGATTGCCATTAAAAACTATGATATGTTTCATATTTTTATTTATGTATTTAATTTTATGTCAATAATATGACTACATTAATCTTAAAAAAAACAATGGAATACATGTTTTACTGTGTGCCCAAAAGCTATTTAGTTATAATAACGGTTTACTGAGTAATAATTATTTAAATTTTATATTTTACATCTATTCTATTCGCAACTATTTTCCGCGTATTCATATCTGACTTCGTGAGTGTGGGTAGTATGTAATGACACGTCTGTTACATTAGTATACATTGTATTTCTGTACCGGATTATAGGGTTGCCAATTGTTTGTTATAAATAAGCAATTTATACGACTTCAAACAAGTTTTGTACTCTTCGCGTTGGAAATCGAATATGAATACGAAGCTCTTTCCATTCGTTATATACACAAAGTCGCCCTTCGCTCCTGTCTATTTATGCATATAATTCAAGTGTAATACGAATTCATTGTATTATAGACATTGTAAGGGAACGCTTATACCTTTTGCGTATAGGTCGAATATCAGATGATATACTAAAAATTAAGAACCCACAATTACCTTTACCTTTATTAGGGTTATTTGATGATTTCCCAATATCAGATGACTGCGAATGAGATGAGGTTGACGTTGTGGTTTTGTGACGTTGTGGTCCTCTAGTTGTTTTCAATCCCTCTGGAAACATTAGAATCTCATGTAGGCGCTATTCAATTCTGTTGTCTCCTTCATGCCTATTCGTTTATCATATTATTTTTAAGAAAGCAGTACCATCACTGTTTGTAATTATTCTATATGTGTTATTTATAAATACGCACAACTGCCAAAATGATGCATTTAAAATAAAAGAGCAAAATTACAACAATAAGCAACACAGATATGGAAATCCCTATGTAAATGGAAGAATTGACAGTAGTTTTGTGTCAGTGTTTGGTGACAGAGTTATCTGAAACAGGAGCATTAATACTTATGTAAAGTTGTTTAACTTTTGTTAGTAGTAGCACGGTACACTCGGGGGAAAGTTATGTGTCAACGATATTGCTTTGTTTCCTGTCTTCTATTATTCCTATCAGATTGCTTTTGTATATATAACCAGTGGCACTCAATGAGGAAATAGCCATTATTATTGCTAAAAGTTGCATATAGATGGCGTGATTGGTATCGATGGAATTCTTCATAGTTTTGCAAACGTTTTAAAAAACAAAACTGTGTTTTCAAAATAGTTTAATCCATTTTTAAAAAAATATATATACATGTTAAAATGAAATAATGCGTTTAGAAAAGTAATTTTCATATATTTACTCATTTTGTTATTTTCCAGTACTTAATTACACTTTAATCAGTGCTAATACGGGGCTCAATGTTTTCAAAATGCTTTCATAGATGGCATTGTTGTCATTTGTATCGGCCTAATTAAATGTCTTTTATATTTTCCAATAATAAGCACTTAATATATTATTATTGTAAATTAAACATATAAAAAATGTTTAAGTAAATTAAAAATAGCCGAACAAGCAAATAATACTATTTCCAATAATACTTATGTATGAAGTGTTGTCATATTAAAAATAAATACATGTATTATCGATTTTTTTTAATAATCGATAACAGGATTTTATTACAGCGCATTATTCGATGATGCTTTTAATGAGTCGTTGTGAACAGTAAATTTTCATTATTTTGTATTAAGTATAGCAGTATTCCGTTTCAAAGAACGGAATATAGTAGTACATTATTAGTGTCGTTGGTTATTTACATTTGTACTGAAAAATCGATTACATAATAATTTAAAATATCGAGTACGAATCGTAGCTGTCTTCGAATACTGGCAACTGGTAAGATTAAAATAGTTTTAAAAAAAAGAGAGAAATCGACCCTAACTCGAATACCATAAAGTTTATTTTCCTTTCTCATTAATATCATAGCAGTTTGTTTTTAACTTGCGTATGACTCTGTGGTATGATGTTTAACGTGTATTGTTATTGTACGGTGCATACATTTCAAAAATTATATTTTAATGTAGGTACAAACATTTCTTTCATACATTTCATACATGTCAAAAATTATCTTTTAATGTAGGTACATACATTTCTTTCATACATTTCATACATGTCAAAAATATCTTTTAATGTAGGTACATACATTTATTTCATACATTTCATACATTTCAAAAATGAACTTTTTATGTAGGTACATACATTTCTTTCATACATCTCATACATTTCAAAAATTATATTTTTATGTAGGTACATACATTTCTTTCATACATCTCATACATTTCAAAAATTATATTTTAATGTAGGTACATACATTTCTTTCATACATTTCATACATGTCAAAAATTATCTTTTAATGTAGGTACATACATTTCTTTCATACATTTCATACATGTCAAAAATTATCTTTTAATGTAGGTACATACATTTCTTTCATACATTTCATACATTTCAAAAATGAACTTTTTATGTAGGTACATACATTGTTTTCATACATCTCATACATTTCAAAAATTATATTTTAATGTAGGTACATACATTTCTTTCATACATTTCATACATTTCAAAAATGAACTTTTTATGTAGGTCCTTACATTTCATACATTTCAAAAATTTCATACAATACATTTCTTTCATACATTTCAAAAATTATCTTTTAATGTAGGTGCATACATTTCACACATTTCAAAAATTTCATACAATACGTTTCTTTCATACATTTCAAAAAGTATTTTTTAATGTAGGTACATAACACACCATGTCAGACCCCTTATATTTGGAAGAAACTTAAAAATAATGCCAAAAATATTAGATGAATATATTTTTAATACGAATATTGTTTTATTTTTGTTCATCAACTTTATCCCTCACTAACAATACTAGTAGTAGTACATAACCTGGTTTATACCGCTAAAGATATTGAAAGATATACGAGTAATTCAGAATGTTATCAAGTTCAAAATAAGCACACATTACTTGCTTAGATAACAGAGTAATATTACTAGTAATAAAAACATTTGTAATACCCATATGTATACTACGTATGTATAGTAAGTACTTACGCTGCGGCGCCGTGAGACTCGTCTAAGTACTTCATCTACTCATCTACGCGCGGTAACCGCGCCGACCGACCAATAGGATAGCGCCTCTCGTGTTTCCAGAAAGTTCGCGACTAACGGACGATATAGTAGTAAGGCAATGAGTGTCCCAGTGATATCATTATAATATTTTCTCGTTAAATTTTATTGTAATATACACAATTTCGCACTAAATAACGTGTTACCCCGTTACACATTTCTAATAATGAAAAACCTAGACCGACCCTGTTCACTTAATCTTACAAGATCTGACTTTAAAAATTACGATATCCTCATATAGCCTTTCATTTCCCCTTTCAATACTTTTTCGCATTAAAAAGTAGCCTTTCTCAGGGTCTACATTATCTGTCTACCAAATTTCAATTAAATCAGTTCAGTAGTTTTGGCGTGAAAGCGAGACAAACAGACAGACTGAGTTACTTTAGCATTTATAATATTTGTAAGAATATCGCTATTAAAAATAGGGGTTGGTGAAAGACGGGTGAAAATTTAGGCGTGTATGTATTTTCAATGTAACATTATAAATAAATAAAAAATTGTCCATAATACAAAAAAATATTTTTTCGGGGTAGGCCACCCCTATGACTTAGGGGTATAAAAAATAGATAACAACCCTATCTCAGACCTGGCAAGTATACATATCAAATTTCATCAAAATGTGGGAGAAATATGGCAACTAACACTGTGATACAAAATTTATATATAAGATATAGCGGAATTCTCATTAGGTAAAAGAGGGGTACATCGTAGAATACATGAGGTATATACCAGTAAATTAATTGTAGCTAAAATCAGTCTCATACATATAACGATTGAAATAAAAAATCGTATAGCCCGATTTTGATACGTACGAGTATAAACGTATCAAAATCAGGCTATACGTATAGCGCAGACGCGTTACAACATATCAAAAAAAATAGGCATGGAATGTAAAATAAACCATAACACAATAGGTATATACATTGGCACATAAGCCATATCTGCAGAGTGTCGGCTAACGATATTATACCTACACATTTACATTGAATCTTGAATCGTCCCTAATGAGGTACACGATACAGTTACCTACATATCTATTATATACATATCTTTGCAAAACAGATGTCATGTAGACTGAATTGACTGCCATCTATTTTCATGCTTTGTTACTA